CACCTCACTCCGCACTGCACTAGGACAATACATATGGAACGGGAAACGACCCAGACTAAAACACACACTACTAACACAACCAAAAGATAAGGGCGGTCTGGCTCTCCCAGACTTCTCCCTCTACTACAGGGCCTGCCACTTCCTGCGGATAATAGAATGGACTAAAAATGGGATACATAAACTGTGGAAATAAGCAGAGGAACATAAGGTGGGCATTCCCATTGCGGTCCTACCATGGCTGCCACCGGGAACCCCGAAGGGAGGGAAGGATAGCCCCTCATACATAAGAGCCACCCTACATGAGTGGCAACGCACAAAAGGGAGACACAGTCTCACATCGTTTCCAACACCTCTACTCCCACTGATACACAAGCTAGACCTCCCACCGGGCCTAGACCCAAAAGCATTCACAACACTAGTCCAGGACCCCATTCCCAGACTTAGACACGTCTATACGACAAAAGGCACTAAGACACTCAACGACCTGAGAGGAGAAACAGAACACACTCTCTTGACACTCCTGAAACATAAACAAATACAGAGTTACATAGCAACCCTCCCACAAGGTGTAAATATTATCACAGGCCCCTACTGCCTTCGAAGAGATATTCTTGGACCCAGACCCAATAGCTCATGGAGTTTCCTTCATATACACACTACTACTGACACAGACACCAACCGCACAGCCAAACTTCAAAGGGAAATGGGAGACAGCCCTAAACCGCACATTCAGCGAGACGGAATGGGAAAAAATCTCCTACATAACACACCATTGCTCTAGTTATAGTAAGACGCAAGAGACAGCGTACAAACTATTAACACACTGGTACCGCAACCCCACGACACTTAACACGATAACTCTAGACCACTCCCCACTGTGCTGGAGATGCGGAGAGGCACGCTCCTACACATTTGGTGGGAGTGTGGCAAGATTGTCCCATACTGGAAGGGAATACACACAATGTTAAAGCAATTCTCAGATGACCCACCCCCCTTCAGCCCAGCTGAAATGCTATTGCATCATACCAGGGCCCCCCCGACCTGATACAAGAAAACAATGACAATACACATTCTGAACACAGCCAAATCAATTATCCCACAATATTGGAAACAACCAGTAACTCCACCCCTGAGGACATGGTTCTCACGAATGGAAGAACTGAGATCCCTTGAAGACCTCCACAATTCCACCAATGGCAAACATCAAGCATACCTCAACATTTGGACACGCTGGTTACTGACGATGACAAAACCAGACTTCGCAGACAGACTACGGATCTAACACCAGAGACAGAATACGACGCCTACACACCACAGACCCTGACCGCAGACAGACCAACGACACCCCAACACATTCCCACCCTCCCCACAACCCAAGACGGGTTGGATCAAAAGGTCAAACCACCAGGACCACTGTCCATTAACCTAAGGACTCATAAAGCAGCACATTTCCATGCAGACTAAACCCAGAACCAGTTCACAGCAGCAACCACACCTCACCACACACACATCCACAACCCACTCTACCCCCCACCCAACGGCACAAGACTATACCTTCTACTCACAAACCCACTCAACATATACAAGACTAGACTATTTCCTAACACTGCACCACAACCTGACCCTGGTGAACGCAGCAGAAATATTACCGATGACATGGTCGGACCACTGCCTGATCCGAATGCAGTTAAAATCACTGCTGTACAAACCCCGACAGATGTCGTGGTGACTAAACGAATCGATCCTTTCGGACGCATTAGCAGCAGACCAGATCGGACAATCAATTCAAGACTACTTCCAAGACAACGAGACGGAGGACATAACGCCACTAACCTGCTGGGAAGTGCACAAAACAGTGATCCGAGGCCAGCTCATCGCAATGAGTGCAACTCTCAAAAAGACGACACGGGAGATGACCGAACTTAGCAAGGAAATCGCGACCCTGGAGACCAGACACAAACGCACCCTAGACGTAACGACGTACAGAGACCTAACGGCCAAATGAAACAAACTAACCACACACCACAACCGCACTATACAACGCTCTTACCAACGCTACAGACACATGATCCATGAGCACGGAGACAAATGTGGGAGACTATTGGCGAACCTCCTGAAACACCGAAGAACCCAACTGTATATCCCCGAAAATTAAAGACACGCATCAACAACTCAAACATCTCCCAGACCACATTGCGACAGCATTCCACTCATACTTCCAAGACTTATACCACCTCCGCCGAGACACACCAGAAGAAGACCTATGACACCGCAGAATAGAGGATATACAAGGCTATCTAGACTTGGCGCGACCATGCGAACTAAGCGAAGCAGACCAGGAGATACTAGAGTCACCCATCGCACTAGAAGAATTGAAATACACCATTCACCCCTTAAGGACACAACATGTGTGACATGTCATGATTCCCTTTTATTCCAGAAGTTTGGTCCTTAAGGGGTTAAAAAAGCAAAAACAGGCAGAGCACCGGGCTCGGACGGGCAACCCTTCCAATACTACAAGGTCTACATGCAAGACATCCTACCGAAGCTCCTAAAAGCCTTAAACTCCATCCAAGACGGAGCCACGCTGTCGGCCCAGTATACCTCGGCGAACCTCACCCTACTTCTGAAGGAAGGCAACGATCTGACACTGTGCCCAAGCTACCGCCCAATCTCCATGCTGAACACAGACATTAAACTCCTGGCAAGCATCCTAGCGACACGCCAATCCACCCAGATCAAACGGGGTTCATCCCAGGCAGAGAAGTGAATGACAACACCATAAGAGCCCTGAACATCATATCATATGCCAGAACACAAAAGTCCCTGACCCTTCTCCTGTCTATGGACGCGGAGAAGGCATTCGACAGAGTGGACTGGGACCTGATGTTCAAAGCCCTCCAAGCCATGGGCATAGGGCCCAAATACCTCACATGGGTGAAGGCGCTATACATCCGCCCTTCAACACGCATTCGGATCAACGGCGGACTGACCGTCCCATTCCAGATCCACAACGGGACCAGACAGGGCTGCCCTCTCTTGCCCATACTTTTCGTGCTGACACTGGAGCCCTTCCTGAACAGGATCAGACTGAAAATAGGAAATACCTAAGGACTCATAAAGCAGCACATTTCCACGCAGACTAAACCCAGAACCAGTTCACAGCAGCAACCACACCTCACCACACACTCATCCACAACCCACTCTACCCCCCACCCAACGGCACAAGACTATACCTTCTACTCACAAACCCACTCAACATATACAAGACTAGACTATTTCCAAAATCCTAGCATATGCTGTTCATAGTCACGAACCCGGAGAACACGAAACCCTGGACCCAACTGGAATCTGACTTAACCAACTGTGACCTCAGGACCCTACCATGGATCCCCAAGACAGCATACAGACACAAACAAGTCGCCAACCCATTCGTAGCGGCGACAATGCAGATCTGGCACAGACAAGGCACAAAACAATACCTGACGACAGACCCAGGCCTGCTGCTACCACTCAAAGGCAACCCAGACTTCCTGGCGGGAGACCTCTGCCCCACACCGAGCCCGGTAGGACATACAACACCAACCCGCATGACAGATGTCCTCACACGCCCATTTGAAGTCCGCCCACTGAACGAACTCTTCCCAGACCGACCGCTCACCTTTTCCCAAACACTGGCAAGAGCTCAAATCGCCTAATACGCCAGATCAATCCCGCAAACATCCCTATTGAGAGAGCTCACACAATTCGAACTCCTAGGCATGCAAGACAAAGAAACACCCAGAGCTATCCAGTGGCAGATCCAGAGCCTGACCTCGGGAGGGGCACTTGCAGATTATTTAGAGAAATAATCCAGACACAATACCCACTACAGCTCAGTGTAGTGGTTATGGTGCCAGTAGTGCTGGGACCCCCTCCCAGAGTAAGTAGTCAAACCGTTTAAGAACAGTTTGACAACTTACCTGAGGTCTGCTTGGAAATGGAGCTGTAGTAGAGCATAGGAGCAGGGGTGCATTGTGTGTGTGTTTGTGTAAGAAGGACTGTGTGAGCAGTGTGTGTGTGAAAGTTGCAGTGTGTACGTGAGGATGGCAGTGTGTGTTAGGGGGGCAGTGTGTGTGCGGGGCAATGTGTGTATGGGGGGGAAGTTTGTGTGTGGGGGCCAATGTGTGTGTAGGGTGTGTGTGTGTATTGGGGGCAGTGTATGTGTGTGGGAGCAGTAGTGTATGTGTATGGTGGGCAATGTGTGTATGGGGGCAGTGTATGTATGTATGTGGAGGCAGTGTGTGTGTATGGGGACAGTGTATGTATGTGGGGGCAATGTGTGTATGTGGGCAGTGTATGTGGGCAGTGTATGTGGGCAATGTATGTGTATGGGGGCAGTGTATGTGTGTATGGGGGCAGTGTATGTATGTGGGGGCAATGTGTGTGTATGGGGCAGTGTATGTGTATGGGGGCAGTGTATGTATGTGGAGGCAGTGTATGTATGTGGGGGGCAATGTGTGTGTGTGGGGGGCAATGTATGTATGTGGGGGCAATGTGTGTGTATGGGGGCAATGTGTGTATGTGGGGGGAAATGTGTGTGTGTGGGGGCAGTGTATGTGTGTAGGGTGTGTGATAAGGATGGGGGGCTTTTAAAAAAAAAAATGTAATTTGATAAAATGATTTATTTTTTTATTTAAAATATACATAATGTCCCCCCTCCCTTCTTACCTTTGTTTAGGGAGGAGGGGGGACATTTCTCGATCCCTGGTGGTCCGGTGGGGAATCCCTGGTGGTCCATATGGTGAGAGTGAACTCTAGCCCCAGTCTCCAGGGCTAGAGTTCACTCTCGTGAGATCTGGAGCATTGCCTTGGCAACGCTCCGTGCTCGTGAGAGAAGGACCTGGAGGAGCTGCAGACTGAGCTCCCCCGGGTCCTCTCTCTCTCCCTCCTATGCCGGCGGCCAGCAAACAGTGCCTGCGGACCGGAGAGGGAGATCTCTGATCTCCCCTCCGGTCCATGAAGGCACTTAGCAGGGCTGGCGCTTGGACAGCGCCAGCCCTGCATTAGCCGACAGGGGAGAGGGAGAACCTCAGATTCTCGGGGGGGGGGCAATTGCCCCTGTTGCCACCCCCCTGGATCCGCCAGTGGAGCTATCTCACAGATATACGCGATACTGGTCACTAGCAGATACTTACTAGCACCCCCATGCATTAGGAACTGGGAGGAGGACCTGGACGAGACAATGACAGAGGCAGATTGGGATAAAAGCATCACCCTGATAAAGAAAACACCAAGTTCAGCACACCTCCAGGAAAACTCATACAAGATACTTACCAGATGGTACCTGACACCAACAGCTCTACACACCAGGAACCCAGAAATCCAAGACACATGCTGGAGATGCGAGGAGGGACGGGCACATTTCTCCACGTTTGGTGGACGTGCTCCCGCATTTGACCCTTCTGGACAGCGCCAGCCCTGCATTAGCCGGCAGGGGAGAGGGAGAACCTCAGATTCTCAGGGGGGGGGGCAATTGCCCCGTTGCCACCTCCCTGGATCCGCCAGTGGAGCTATCTCACAGATATACGCGATACTGGTCACTAGCAGATACTTACTAGCACCCCCATGCATTAGGAACTGAGAGGAGGACCTGGACGAGACAATGACAGAGGCAGATTGGGATAAAAGCATCACCCTGATACAGAAAACACCAAGTTCAGCACACCTCCAGGAAAACTCATACAAGATACTTATCAGATGGTACCTGACACCAACAGCTCTACACAACAGGAACCCAGAAATCCAAGACACATGCTGGAGATGCGAGGAGGGACGGGTACATTTCTCCACGTTTGGTGGACATGCTCCCGCATTCGACCCTTCTGGGAAGCAATACAAGGCATCATACAAGAAGTGACGGACGAACTATTACCACGGTCACCGGCCACCTTCCTCCTTCACCATACCACCATGCCTACGCGGACATACACAAAATTGGTTATCCCTCAACTCCTCAATGCAGCCAAGGCCACCATCCCCATCTATTGGAAGCAGACCAATACACCCCCAATAGCCCGCTGGGTGAAGGAGGTAGAAGCCACGAGGAAATTCGAGGACGTGAAGGCGAACACCCCGCAACACAGGGAACAATACACCAAACGGTGGTTCCACTGGACGCGACTAATCACATCAACCGCCTTCCAACACTGAATCGCCACACCATAACCAGAGACGAGGAAAGACAAGACCTCAGAATAGATCGAACGAACGGGAGACAGCGGGATGCAATGAGCCGGGGTAACAGCGGGAGGCACGACCAGGTTCCCCTTCCCAATACCCATCCCACCCTGACTCCTACTCATTTACACCAACACACCCTAACAAGCACACACAGGCACAGTAACAGTCCGAGGGGCCGGGAAACACGCCAGTGCAGGATTAACTTTCACGCCAGGACCCACACCAAGCATGCACCGCAAACCACTACACACAACACCCCGGACAATCACCACACACACACAAACAAAGCGAACCATCATACAGAGACAGACTCCGCACCGAGGATACATGCACGGACATACACAATAAACTCACAAAACAACGCAACCGGACCGCACAGCAGAAGCAACTCAACACGGAGGAACTAACAAAGCTGATAAACCACAACAATAAATACACCACATACACCACCAACCATAACCAGCAGAGCGAGACTCAGATACCCAAAGACAGTAGAACAGGTACTAGGTACATGACACCACAAAAGAAAAATGGAAGAACTATGAAAATCGAAACATAAATACACGGAGATCAAAGTCTGTTTGACCTGGAAATTACACCACCTTGTTTTTCCTGATTTACATGGCACTTGTAACATCTCCTTTTGATATTAAAGGTCCAAAGGTCAATCATACAGATCTACATTCTATTTCTTAAATTTGATTTACCTTCTAATTTGATTCTAATTCATAATTTCATACATTTCCCCACCTAGAGGGCGAAAGGAACTTAGTGAATGAGCCCTCTTATTTAGATTTGTCGATAAGCAATGTTCTCAAGAGTTCTTAAGGTTTTGCAAAACACAATGAGTCCAAAAACAATAAGGATAGTTTGAAAAACCAACAGCATTTTAAATGTTAGGCGGAGAATTGGATGTTGGGAGACATTGTATGCACAGTCCCACCATGTTGTCTTAGTTAATTCTAATACTGAGTCTCTGGCTATTTGTGTATTTTATTTCATCTGAAGAATATGTTCAGTATTTCTTTCCATTAGCATATGTACATCAACAGTCAATGGTGGAATAGGAATGCTAAACTCTGGGATGGATTGTTTAATTTCTTCATCTATCTAAGTTTTACTTTGACGTTTGAAATGTTATGGAACACTGGAACTGGGAATAAAGTGTGACCGTTGATTCTTTTTTTTTTTTTATAAATATCGTTTTATTGAAATGGTTGCACGGTAAACAAATCGCAGTTAGGTTATGAGCAGTGCGAAACACGCAGGTTTCAATCGTTTAGAGTCTCGTTTGAGATTTTGAGATGCGCAGATCTCTAAAGAAGCAATAGTAGTTGAGACTCGCAGATCTCTGAGCACAATAGGTTTCAACTTACGATATTCACAAAGCATGTTGTAGATTAATTAATTACAGTCTGTCAGGTGCGTTAGCTATGTTCATGCGGTTTGAAATCGCTCGCTCTGCGTTATGATATTGTTTATGATCCTAGGTCCTATCGTTCACTTATTCTTACAGGTTGTAAGTGTCTCTCGTTCTTTAATGTCGTTCGTCTGTAATGGGTCTAGATTGGGGATAATGGGAGGGGTGGGGGTCGGTAAGCGTGTTGTGTCCTTTAGTGACCCTCTTCCCGTCTGTATATTCTATGGCCCCTTCTCAAGATGCCGATTGGCATGTGTTTGGGGCTGCGGGAGGGTGACCTTGTACTTTTGTGTGTTCCAGTATAGGGTTTGATCTCTAGGGTCAGTGCGTCTGTTAGTTTGTTCTATGAGTTCCCCTCTCAGTCTCCTCCATCATCTATATGCATTAATGTTGTAATGTTGTAGTGTCGCTGAGGTAGGTGCTGTGTGTTATCTCCTTCCAGCGTGGTTCCTCCAACCCCTGGTTCTTGTTTAGTCTGCCCCCTGGCAGTACAGATTTCATATGTTACTAGTGTGATTCTACCTCTCAGGGGGTCCTAGACAGATTCCCCGGGCACTGGTCTCATCCGCAGGGGCTCTGAGGCATGGTAGGGGTGTGGGAGGGCCGGAAGGGGGTGTTTTACTTGGGTTTTGGGATGTCGTGCATGTCTCGATTCCCTATGTGTCTTGTCTCCTTTCTCCCTGTGTCGGTGTATGTGTTAGGTACACGTACCAGGACCCCCACATTTCCATATGTTTGTTGCTTCTTCCCAGTAAATCAGCATATTTTGCTTCCGCTGCGTGGATTTCTTCTACTCTCTGTAGCCATTGCGTGATTGTGGGTGGTTGGGTGCTTTTCCACAGTGTCGGAATCAGGGACTTGGCTGCATTCAGCATGTGTCTCAGGATAGATTTCTTGTAGTGTGCGAGTGGTTTTTCTGTGAAGTGAATCAGTGCGGCTTCTATGCTGAGGTTTGGCATATCCCCTAGGATCTTGACCAGTTCTTGTTGGATCTCATCCCAGAATGGTTTTATTACGGGAATATTCTATGTAGTAGCGAGGGTGTGCGGTACCAGTGTGAGATCAGTTTAAAGTTGACTTCTTGGTATCTTGAACTGATCAAGCTCTTGTGCTGAAGTATGAGTATCTGCTCCCATTGGGCATCTGTGTATGTTCTGTCAGTGAGGTCCTCCCATCGCCTCTTGAAGGCTATGTTCCGAACCCGGTCTCCTATTATAATCCGTTGGTATAATATGGATACTCTCCCATCTGCTTCTGGTTCATTCACACACAGGTTTTCGAACCACGTGATGTCTCTGTGTACTGCTAGTCTGTTTGGCAGATTGTAGTAAAAATGTCGTAGCTGCGCGTAGCGAAACCTGTGCATGAGTGTGGGGGTGTCGGTTCCGGTCCATTCACGTATGTTCTTCAGTCCTGCGTTGGTTAGCGCCTTCTTCAGGGGTAAATAGTCATCTCCCTCTGCTGTCGGCCATGCGCTCCTCGGGAGGCCGCCGCCTAGGTCAATATTATTCGTTAGTGGGATCAGTGGGCTCGGTTGGGGGGATATGTATGTTTCTTTTCTCATTGTGGCCCATGTTTTCAGCGTTTGTTCTATGGGCAAGGTTTTGTCGATGTTTGGGGTTTCCCTCTGGGTGTGATGCCATACCTGTGAGTGCAGGGTTTTGTTCGTGCTTTCTCTGTCTAGTGTCGCCCAGCGTTTGTGTTGAGGGGCCGCGTGCCAGTCTCTTATCCGTTGTAGGGTAGATGCGTAATAGTATTTGCAGAAGTCTGGCAGTGCTAGGCCTCCCCATGCTTTGGGTAGGCATATTTTATCGTGGCTAAGCCTCCCTCGGTTCCCCTTCCAGACATATCTGCTAACCGCTGTCCTCAGAGTTGCGAAGAATTCCGGTGGTAAGTGCCAGGGTATGGTGTTGAAGTAGTAGAGGAGTCTCGGCAAGATGTTCATCTTTACTACTGCTATGCGACCATGCCATGAGATGCAGTCGTAATTCCAGGTTTGACCGTTGATTCTTAAGACTTTGTTAACCATGAGACAAAAATTCGGATCTTGATATTGACATTGGATTATTTCCATACCAATATTTGGAGCCATTTGTTACTATACAGAATCTACCATCTCCCACATAGATGATTTTTGTCATCTCTTCTTGCCACTTTGTTAGTTTTACTGCACATGTTTTAGAAGGCCCCTTTGTGTTTATCTGTTATTTGGGATTCCACTGGTTGTAGTCCACATGTTGAATCTGTTGTATCCAGGGCATTACACATGCAAACATATTGTTCATTTTGTTTAGTGCAGCAAGACAATTGTGGAGTTATCCATTCTCCTGAGTTTCTGTGAATCATAAGGTGTGGAGGATCCTTGAATTCCTTAAGTGCATGACCCTCTAGGTTACCCAAAGAATGTACTTTAACTAGTCTTTTCAATATTTCATCGTTGGGGATAATAGGCAGAGAAATAGTGATTGGTATCATTGCATGGAATTGTATGCTGTGTAATCTTGCCAAGATCACGAATTCTGCACATGCTCACTCCTATTTCAGTGTTTTTATACCATTCTCGTATTTGGTCATCATGGATAAAATCAAAAATACGTTCCAGTTCAATGTCTCTTAATACATCAGTTAGTTTACTGAGTAAATAGTCCCCATAGGCTACACATGCAAGAGCTTTGCCTATCTTATTTTCTTGACTTTCCCGATTAAGTGTAGCAATAATATAATTGATCTTGTTTTGTATATCGGAGAAAATAGTGCCAATTGTATGCATATTGTATACTGTAACAAATTCTTCATCTTCTAATGCTGACTGGCTGTTAATTATTGGCTTGAGAAGTTTTTGTTGTAGAGTATTTCTAAGTTTCTCAGTGTTATCATATAAGGCCTCTATATCAGCTCGGTTCCATACAGACATCCCTGATCCAAATAATCCAGATATAGTTCCAACCCATCCCTCTACACTCCTTTTAGAACGTACACTGTAAAGAGAATCTGGTAAATCTCCGGCATTTCATTTCCAAAAAGAGGTTATTTTAACCTGCATGAAGGTATTATACAATACCCAATCACTAAAATCCAAAATAATGGGTACATGTATATATTTTACATTATTATATAAAACACCAGGGACTTCTTGTGCAACTAACCCACTTAGGGGCAGGGGTGTAATTTGAGGGCATTTTTCAGAATCCCTAATTTCAATTATAATACCTTCCCCCCGGTGGGCTTCAGCCCATGTACTTTCAGGTGCACATGCTACCATACCATCTTGTAATAATGTAATATTCTTTTCAAGATGTATTTGTAAATGGGGCCCTTCTGTGGTCTTGTGAAGTGTACTACCACCTGGGAAAAGCCACCTTAGACATTTGTCAGTGAGATTCAGCAAAGGTATCGTTACATTCCATTCAATAACTACCCATTCACCTTCTGAGCCACTTATGATATTGTTAGTGGTATTAACAGTGACAGATTTATTTACAATACCCAGATTAATTATAGTAACTGTAGCACTATAAGCACTTCTCTTTTCTCTGTTATTCTGCTGAATATATGGATTATTGCTTAAATTACCCTCTCGATTTTGACTCAGGAAAATCATCAGCCCAGATAACATCGTCAGTACCACTGAAAACCAAAATATAGTTGTTTTTTTAACCGTACACCCTTCCAGAATTCTCTGAATGCTGGGTCTTTTCCCAAAAATGTGGAGTTTCATTTCTGTAAAAGAGCAAGCATTTGTAAGTGGAGTTTATATACTTTTTAGCTGATTGATATGATACCACTTAAGGAGTGGCTTCCCTTTGTGTCCCGTCATTTGAAGCAAATAAACAGAAGGACTTGCCTTGTCTACTATATTAAATGGCCCTCTCCATTCAGGAGTGAAAGAGTGTTTTTTTCTTTCCGCAGTCACGTACCATAACAGAATTCCCAACCTCATATTCGAAGGGTCTGACTTTTTTATCAAAATACTTTTTGATCTGCTTTTTACTGCGCCCTGAATTTTGTGCTACAAACATGTTTACTTCCTGAATGTAGTCTGCCATCTTTTTCACCCATGTTTCAGTCACAGCTCCTAACAAATTGAGAATTATCGTGGAGAGCAGTGAGAGCCCAGGGGATCGCATGAGTATCCCAGTCATTGCCTGGTAAGGGATAACCCCAGTTGTAGAATTAGGTGTAGACCGTATTGCCATTAAGCACAATGGTAACAGGTCTTTCCAAGATGTAGGTTTTCCTGAACAAAACTTTGTTAACATTGTCTTAAGGGTTCTGTTTCCTCTTTCCACAGCTCCAGAAGATTGAGGATAAGAAATATGAAGTTCATGCTTAATATCTAGTAATTTCTGTAACTGTGTAAAAACCTGTCCTGTAAATGCAGGACCCTTGTCACTTGCAACTACTTTAGGAATTCCCCACCTGGAAAACAACTCAAAAAGTCAAATTTTGGCAGCTCTTAGTGCAGTTTGATTTTTTTGTAGCAAATTTGAAGAACACATCAATAACCACTAAGCAGTACATGTAACCACCAAGGGTTTTGGGTCGGGGCCCAATAAAATCAATCTGAATATGGGTCCATGGCCCTTCTGGGGGGGAGCAGATTGCAAAAATGATCGGTTTGTGGAAGCTGGAGGATTTACTTGCAAACAAGGGAGACAGGTGGAACATTTAGATTGGATGTCCTCTTTAATAGAGGGCCACCAGACAGACTGCAGTATCTTTTCCTTTGTTTTTTTCAACAGAATAATGACCTCCAACAGGATGGAAAAATTCATCAGCACAATCAGGGGGAACACACACTATGGGAGAACCCACATTTTTTGTGTACATAAGGATTGTATTTTGAAATGTATCTGACATTAATTTGGTATACTCAGCCCATACTGCAGGTGTGGGTAAAGGCTGGCCTGCTTCATGCCATTCCCTTACAACCTCATTAGGGGCATATGTTTTCTGCAAAGAAAGCCACTCAGGTGAAGTACTCACTTGAAGAGCTGAGACCCAAGGTACTCTAGGAGTACTCCATAGTTCAGCTTGTTTGGCTGCTTTTTTTGCAGAATTATCAGCCAGACTATTTTTCTCTGAATGCACAGTACCTTTTGAATGCCCTTTAATCTTTATAAGTGCACATGGAAATTTCCTTTGCTGCAGCAAATCCCAAATATATTTAATCAAATTTACATGCACCAACGTTTTACCATCTGAGGACTTAAAACCATTTGAAACATATAAAGGTAGCACAGTTAGAGTGTTTACCACATAGGCGCTGTCACTATAGATATTGATCGCTGTCTCGCGGCACTCCTCTAAGATGCAAGCAATTACAGCAAATTATGCATATTGGGAAGGAGTGAGGAATACAAGAATGCATTATTATGTGATCAGGTAGGACAATGGCAAATCCTGTGTATGCCATCTTATCATGATAAGAAGAACCATCACAATATACATCTATGCCTTGCACTGGTTTATGTGAGAGAGGATTGGGAGGGAAATTAAGGTTAGAGGGAAGGGACAATCATGTGGTTCACCTGGGTAGAGCAGTAAGGCAGGTAGAAGAGTGGTCTGCTTTGGTGTGATATTTAAGTCTCTTTGCATTAATGTCAATGTCCATCTTGATAAACGAGCTGAAGAAATGATAGTCTCTCCTGGTTTTAGCAGCAAGTTCAAAGGAGTATGGGGGCTGTGTATTGTCAAGCTTTGAAGTCCGGTGATGTAGGTGAAGTGGTCTATTGCCCAGAATGTTGCTAGAAGATGTCACTCACAAGCCGGATATTTCTATTCCACAGAAGTCAGTACACGTGAAGCATATGCAATTGGGCGCAGTTTCCCATATTTCTCTTGGCACAGGACAGCAGCTAAAGCAATATCTGTGGCAGCCGCTTCCATGTGAAAAGTCTTTGAAGGGTCAGGTGACATCAGAGTAGTAGCTTCCATGACAGCTGTTTTCAAGTCAGTGACAGCTTTGGTGTGTTTTTCAGTCCATTCCATTCTGATGCTGTCATCAGGTACATCTTTCTTTAAAAGGTCATACAGTGGTCTAGCCACGTCAGCAAATTGTGGAATAGTCTTTTTGGTATCCCACAAGTCCCAGAAAGGACCGTAATGTTGTTTTGGATACTGGCATATTAAGTCTCTGGATAATGTCTACTTTGTGTTTGTCAGGATGCTTGCCCTCTGGTGTGATTAATACCCCCAGAAAGGTGAGGTTTGCATCAGTTGGCATTTCTTTAGATTTACTTTCAGTCCTGAGGCAACAAACAGTCCCAGCAGCTCTCTTAGCAAAGTAAGGTTTTCTTCTTTTGTCTTTGTAGCATACAAAAAATATCAACATATTGCAGTATGGCTGAAGGCTTGGAGAAATCTTTCAAAAAGGCTGCCATTCGCTTATGGAAGATGGTGGGCGAGTTATGGAATCCTTGTGGCAGACATGTCCATGTGTATTGGCGATCTTTCCACGTGAAGGCAAATTTGTATTGGGAGTTTTTATCCAATTTGATACTCCAAAAGCCATTACTCACATCCAGCGTTGAATAGAACCTGGCAGAGAGAAGGATAAGGGAAAGAAGAGTAGGGGTTTCTCTGACAACTGGTGCACAAGTAGGGGTTACAGCATTTAAGTTTCTATAATCTACACAAAGACGCCATGATTTGTCTGGCTTCTGGACAGGCCATATAGCTGAATTTGTGGTGGATTCACACTCTCTTACAACACCTTGTTCTAATAATGAATCAATAGTTTGCAGAATATGGGGTTCACTATCCTTTGGAAGGGAATATTGTTTTTGCGCAATATGCGCCCTTCCAGGAATAGTCTCTTCCCCAGCCATTCTACCACAGTCATGTTTATGTCTGGCAAATGTCAACACATGTTCTTGTATTATTTCAGATACCCTGCGGTCTCAGTGAGTCGGAGGAGCAATGTATTCTGGCCTCTTTATAACATAGACAGCAGCAGAATCAGAAATAATACTATGTTCACCTTTTTCTTTAAACCATATTTAACATTTGCAAAATCAATAACTGCACCATGTTTTCTTAGAAAGTCAGAACCTAGATTAGAGACACAGTCAGGTAAGGCCATCAAATATGCATTAAGATCCAATGCAATATTTGATATCCATATCTGAGTTTTCCTAGCTTGTATCGCTTCTGTTTGTGACCCCTGAAAAGCTTCTAAAACCAAACGTTTACTAGTAGACAAAGGATGAAAATTAGGGTGGGAGGTGTGGATGATTGATACTGAGGCACCAGTATCAATTAACATATTCTGCTGTGGACCTCCCTCAACAGCAGCTGTTATCACAGGTCTATTGCATCCATCGCGTCTGAACTCCACAACAGGCAAGAGGGATACTACAATTTCCTATGCAGAAAAATTAGAGCCAGCAATTTGATTAGTAATTTGGATGACTTCATTTATCAAGCTCTTTCCCCATTTTCACCAATTCTTTCCTCAACTCTGCATAAATTGAAGCAACGGGCATTTCAGGGGGCACTGGCATTTGAAAAATTAAAATTTGGGGAAAAATGTCCAGCTTGTCCACATTTAAAGCATTTAAAGGCTTCTCCCTTTACAAAGGGTCCTTGATTTTTATATGAGGGCTTACTTACATTCTTAATCTCTGGTGGGAGCCCTTCCACTGCACACACTGGTCTCCTATTATTTGTAATCTGATCTTTAAGAATTGCTTCAGCCCTCTTCAAGCAATTCATGATCCTAGTGTATTGGTTATGGGCTGATACAGATAGACCAATTAGTCTACGAATCTCAGGAAGGGTGCGGTTTAGTAGAGCTCTTTTATAAATTTAATCATTCTGGTTTCCCTGCACTCCTGAAGGTAGGGTTAACTTATAAAAAACAAATAACCGCTCAGCATAACCTTGTATAGACTCACCCTGTCAGGGTGACGGTACGGAAACCAGAACCCCTGAGTGCCTGATGAGAAGTTGGAGTCTTCAGCGTGGTAATGGACTATCAGGGCCTGGTGCAGGGTAACCACACGTCCTCTGGCGTTGAGCACCAGCGTTTGCGCGGCCACATACCAGGTCCCTGATGCAGCTAAGCGGAAGCCAGAGCAGACATATGCTGAGATGTATCCAGTACTAGAAACAAGGCAAGACTAGAACAGGGACCAAACATGAAAACAAGACAGAACTAGTAGAACCCAGAACTAGAGAAGGATAGGAAGCTAAACCCAGAACATGTACACAATACATAAGGGAACATTAACTAAACAGGGGCAGGACAGGTCAGGACTGTACATGGACTGGGAATACAAAATAAAACAAGACAAGATATAATAGGTAAAACAAGAGGAGACATAACTAAGCACTATATATGAAAAGTATGGGGATTTAGTTACATTATATGATCATACATTGCATAAGCCTGCCACAACGTCAATGTATCCCATATTCGTCAGGTCCTACACTGCCTAATGTTCGCTAAAAGAACCATCCTAAACAACAATAGCAGTTACCTGCAAGAAAGGGCAGAGACTTGAAACACTGCTGCAGGTCCAGACTGAAACAAAAGGAAAGTGGAAAACAAATGGGTGTGGCAACATAAAACAAACATTTAAAGGAAACCTGGACACTGGGAATTCCAGGGACGGATTACAGGAATGAACCCAGAAAAACCCAGCATAAAGAAAACCAGACAAAGAATAGAAAACCAAAAAAACAAGAAGAACTAAACAAGAATTGTAAAGCGTACTGGATACCAGAAACCAAAGCCAGACATCTTTGCAGAACATGGCATGATGTGACACACCCTTCCTCTGTGTGCAGTTGCTAAATGCTAAGTGGTGGTCAGTCTCCTCTAACCCAAGGGCTTTTAATATTTCCTCTATTAGTTGTCGTTTTGTTCTGGGGTCAGTGAACACTTCGGGAGATAGACTAGCTCTCAAGGAAGAATCAAGACATGCCATTAATACATCAAACTGATCTATATCACTTAAATTCCTGTGCATCCTATCAAATTGTTCAATTTTTAACGTTACCTCTACTGGGTCATCTCCAAACCTTATGCTTCCAAGTTCTTTACTCAGAGCTTGGATCTATGTACTAGAGGACGGTCTGGACACACTTGTTTCAGAAATGGTTAAGCCTTCACGATCTTTCTTATGTTCTGGATAAATTGGAGCCATTTTAGGTGTTAAACAATTATCTTCAAATGTTTCCTCAAAAGCATCCCAATCCATATCATTTGCATAATTATTGTCACCAACATTAAATGCAGCCACAACAGCATTTCTTTTCCCTAACTGTAATCTTAACTCATTCATTTCTGCATGACAGGCACAATGATCAGCCTCTTTCTGGCTGCGAGATGCAAGAGTTCTAATTGCCCCTTCTGCATCCCTCAGCCTTTCAGTCAGCTGTTCATTTTGCAGGATTAAGTTTTCTTGCCGCATCTGCTGGTGACCTATGGATAAGGCCGCAGCAATCTGCGCAGTGATTTTAAACATTTCGCATGCATTTTCCAAACTAGACACTTCTTCTTCTAATCTATCTTTCTGCTCCTTTAAGGATTTATGCTGTTCCGCTATAAAATGGGCAGCAAAAATCAGAGCATATTTACCTTTAGACTTTCTTAGTTTCTTCTCAGAAATAGCACGAGATACATACTCCTGAGCCTGAAACCAAGGGTCTGAAGCTCCTTTTAGAGATTTAAGGACAGCTTCAGGGTTAGATACCTTAGCAAGTTTTTTCATTAGACCTTCCATTCTGTGATATAATGCAATTTATATGTATATGTTATTAAACAGTGAATTGTTTTTTCTAGTATTACACCTAGAACAAACTCAACACCACTAACAATCCACATACATGCACACAACCCCACATGCAGCCTCTCACATACAATACCCCAAACAGCCCCTCACATACACACACTACCAAATACACAATGTGACAAATCCATCTACACACACACACACAATATTCCACAAGTAGCCCCCATACACAGCCCACATTCCTAGGTATCATACACGATACCACAAACGACTCATGAACATATACAATATAACATCCCACATACACACAAATACAAAGATACAAAGCAATTACAGTATAAATAACACAAGCAGAATACGGCAACATACACACCTCAATTAAAAAAAAATAGGACCGGCACGCTACGGGACATCAGAATCCTATTCCGCCACAGTGCTGCTAAAAGGTTGCCTATTCCTGTTCTAGTCCATTGTCCTCCTGGAAGGTTGAACCACAACTCATTTTAAGCTTCCAAGCAGAGGCAGTCAGGTGTTCCTTTAATATCTGTTGATGCCATGTAACCTAACAAAATGTCCAGGCATAAAAACAGCCCGAAAAAAGAGTCAACACAATATTTAACTAGGGGCATAAGGTACTTTTCCATATGGTTACCGCTCTGTGTTCTCCAAACCCACCTCTGATGTTTATTTCCAAAAAGCTCTATTTTGGTTTCATTTGACCATAAAATATGATCCCATTTGAAGTTCCAGTAGTGTCTTGCAAACTAAAAACGCTTTAGTTTGTTTTTGGATGAGACTAGAAGTGTTTTGTTTTTTTCTTGAAACCCTTCCAAACAACTTGTGGTGATGTAGGTGACATTGGACTTTGACCCCAAAACGAAACTAACATCTGCAATTCTCCAGTTGTGATCCTTGGAGATTTTTTTGCCACTCGAACCATCCTCTTCACAGTGTGCTGAGACAATATAGACACACTTCCTTTTCCAGGTTGATTCATAACATTTTCAGTTGGCT